AGACAGAAAAACACATTCACATCCAAGGAATCTTTTCTTTTTAATTTGGCATTGTTGAAATTAAGCGTTTGGGTCTTGCATATCGGCCCATTCATAGAACAACATTCTTTTCAGAAACATATGCACCTCGTAATATACCAAGTTCTGAGAAAACAACACATTTACAAAAAGGTAGATCTAATCATTGTGGGTGCTGGTCACACTTGGAGGGAGAAACAAACTAACTTAAATTATGAATTCAATTCAATTAAATGTGTCTTTAGACCAGATTTACATGCGGTCAACATTGAAGCCTCTCTTAAACGAAGTTTTTTTGGGTTTTTTTCGGGGGGGAGGGGGAGGGTAAGTTTGAGGAAACAGTCGTCAAAAGAAACACTATCTCCATTCAAAAAATCAATGCAAAGTCTTAATCTTAATTTGTTGTTAGTTAATGGATCAAAAGTTGCAGGCTATTGTAGTACCATATCGTTTAAACATTTTGTACACATTCCAAAAGGGTATAAGCCGTGGATAAAACTGGAAGTAAAGTAAGAACACACTTTTCAGACAACCTACAATGTTATAATCAGCCTGTACTCCAGTATCGCCAGGGTGGGCGAACAGAGGACTGTTGTGTCCTGTCTTCTTGTCCCAGGATCCGTGGAAGTCATAGGTCATCACGTTGAACATGTCAAGACTCCTGTGATTGATAGATACGTGGATGGGTAGGATTGGTGTATTTGTAGCTATGTAGCTAGGTACGTTGCTAGGTAGCTAGGCAAGTAGGCCAAGCATCAGATTTGGGAATGGGTGAGCAAATTGAAAGATGTGCAGGTAGGTTTGAAGTTTGTGTACATTTTTCTCTATTAACTACACCATTTGAAGCTACCTCACAAATATATGCCATGACGAAAAATGGATCAATATTTTAGACAGGCGCGGTTCGTCCATAAAGCACGGCCCCAAATTTGTAAATGTTCTATTACGTAAAGCACACACACATAAAAAAGTAGCCAAAAACAAACAGTAGCCATATATTATGTTAAAACAAGGTGTGCTTACTGACGCGTAACTGTTCACTTCTAAGTCTATAACGCCGTGAAACATCTACTAAGCCACGACAAAAACCACACGCTTTAACTAAACATAATAGGATATTCAACCAGTGGTAACCTGACCTATAAATCGTTCTACGGGATAACCCAAACGATGACGACACTCGTAGCGAGTTTGGCGCTACATTAATATTAATAGGACGGCACATCTCAAATGTGCATCCATGAAACATAGCACACAGTAGGCAGTTTAAAAATAAACGCGATAGACTGTACACTATTATAATATGCCAAAATTAAGTGAGCCCTGGAGCAATCCAGCAGAGTGCTCAAGTGAATTACGATTGGTTCATTGGTTCATTGTGTTGCCACTATTTTAAGGAACTCTGTGACCGTGGACCTGAGGGAGGTGAACGTGACATACTTAAGTCACCGCCCTGTGTTGTGTCTTTGAATGGTTTTTTAGTGGAATGGTGAAAGTTATGTTCAGTTCCAAAGAAGGATTAAACGCCCAAGGTGCTCCTTCACCAACCCAAAGATACTAAAATTTTAGAACGTCCCATTTACTATGCCCTTGACTATCTTCAACCTACGATAGCTAAATTGTGCACGCCCACGTTTTAGTCCCACGAGCCGCCCCTGATTTTAGAATAGAGGCTCATACGTAAATCTGAAAGCTATGATATGCAATCGACATTATTTAAATTATTTAGGAGAGCTGCTTCGAGAATCACGGGATGAGAGGAAAACAATGTCCCCGCAGACAGACAGAGACACTCGATAAAATTAACCTTCCCACACAGGAATCATACTGGAGTCTTCACGGAGCGACGGCTAAGCGCCTCACGCCTGCACAACTGTTGCCGGTAAAAAAGATGCTCTGAGCAAAACAGGAAGAGTGATCAATAAACTACTTTACTTGGCCAGTTCAGGGATTTCGTAAGCTGTTTCTATTTTGTCCTTTCCGGCAGCGACAGCGGCTGAGAGAAGGAGTCGAGGTTTGCCAGAAGTAGCTGCTTCTTGTGCGAAGGCGTCAGCCAGTTCCTGGGGTGGG